GCCGGGTGCCCGGCCACAGGACACGGGGGAGTTCGTCTGTGATGCCGGTGGGGACTCTGTCTTCTACATTGTCACCGTGGCAGGTGGGTGTGATGCAGGAGGGCTGGCAAGGTTACATCCTGGGAGGCTTTCTTTGGAGGTGCAGGGTGCCACAGCATGTGTTCCTCAGTGTTGCTGTTATTTGCTGCTCTGGGGATTCTCATCAGAGATGCTCTTGCCAGGTCCTCAGCTCCAGGTCAGTCAGGATCTTTGCAGCAGCTCTGATGCATAAAGCCACACAGGCTGACTGTCGAAGGGGGCAGCTCACTCTGACAGCCAGAAGTTGTCAAGCACCCAAGGGCACCCAGCACCTCCATGCCAGTGTGTTTGCTGGACTTCTGCCACAGCCAGTAACCAAGTCCTTCTCTGAGGTCCTAAAAATCATGGGCTTGGCACCTGGTGTGGGGTGACTTGCAGTCTGACATTACTCTGATGGACAGTGTTAATTGCTGACCTGAAAATTAGCAGTTGCCTGGATACCGATCATCGGGTGTTGGTTGCTGGGTACGAGCAGGGGATGGCTCCCGCAGTGGCTGTCCCGGCCACAGAGCAGCAGGGAGGCAGAGGATAATGAAGGCTGAAAGTGAGTGAAAGACTTCCCCTTGCTGGCCCCAAAACCCACAGTCCCAAAACCACAGGAAGGCAGCCAGGGCAGACTTAAAGCCCAGTTAAAAGCTTCTGTGACCATGGTGGTAAAGCCTCTCCACGGTGCTAATATGTGGCAAAGGGCCAAAGTTGATGGCAGAGGATGGCATGAAGATGGGATGACCGATAAGAGATTCTGGAAGAGTCAGTGAGGTGGTGACTGGTGAGAGGGTGAAGAAGGGACGTTATTTACTGTGATAAAGGCAAAATTGCCACTACCAGAGAGGCAGTATGGGCTTTGGTCAGGGGCAGGAGGCATTGTCTGCCCTGCAGTGGTGCATGTTATGGAGAGCTCAGCTTCCCTCGGGTGGGAGGGGGAGCACCATCTGCTGAAGCTCAGCCTTTTGGCTGAGCAGCTTTGCATTACACTGGCAGAAGGGTCTTAGAGAGGCTGGCTTGGTTCGATCAGGATTTGGCCATCAGTGTCACTGGCAGGGTTGGGGGTGAGTGCCAGGAGGCTCAGGCTGGCACGTCTCTGGCACATGCACTGGGGCTGTCTGCTGCAGTCAGCGGTGCTGTGGCACGCTTGGGTTTCCCCGAGGCATTCCAGCTATCCCCCACCGGCTGCTGTCTCCAGCCTGGCTACCCTTGTGCACCTCTTGGTCTTCCAACAGCTGCCAAAGCAGTGGGGCTGCCTTGGAGACAGTGGTGGGGCTGGAGCGGCGCTGCCCACTGAGGGCTGGCACACTGCCAACGCCTTGCTTTGGTGCCGTCCAACATCTCCAGCAGCACTTCAGTGATGTGATTGCTTTTAGCAGGCCCAGGGGGACAAGCAGCCAAGCATTTGATCAGGGAGCCGGATGGATACAGGCTCAGCGTGGTGCAGGCTGAATGCTGCACACTGGTGCTGCGCCATTTGTGCGCTGCAGGGCTGCAGTGCTCTGCTGAGCCTGGGCAATGTGGCTGGA